GTGTATTTTTAGAATTTGAATCAGATAACCAAAAATTAAAAGAAGTTAATTTAATTATTTGGGATGAGGCTTTAATGATTTTAAAAAGAGCATAGAAAATAGTAGTAGAAAATAGTAGACAGAACGTTAAGAGATTTATGTAATTCTGAAAAATAGTTTTTAAGTAAATTAATTATTTAAGAAGTGGATTATCATCAGATTTTCCCAGTGATAAGAAACGGTTATAGAAAAATTATACTAAAAGAAACTATTGAATCTTTATTTTTATGGAACTCATTCCAAATTTTAAAATAAAAAATTAATATTTGTTCTAACGATAAAGGATTTTTAAAATTGTTATTAAAAATTGGAAAAGGGGTGATAAAAACTTTAAATATTTCTAAAAGTTGGATCTCAAATAGTAAATGTTGTGAAATATTTTCTATTATCTACAATTGTTCGATAAATAGTGTTTTAGACTCACATGGCATAACGAGAACACCTCTTATTTGAATAATAAAATCCTTAAAAAATTAACTGGAGAAATTATAACTTAGTATAGAATTTATAACCCAACTTATAAAGGAGTTGATAAATCAGATGATAATATTTATTTAATATTTCCGGTGAAAATGTGAAGCAATATTCGTAAAGGATTACGACCTTATGAACTAAATCTCAAAATGGGTACAATAGTGATGTTACTGAGAATTTTAAGTACATCAGAAGGACTTCGTAATGAAACACGTTTACGAATCACAAAACTATTACAGTAAAGTATGGAAGGAGAAATAAAAACTGGAGAAAAAATTCGAAATTGAATCTTAATTCCAAGAATAACTTAAGATACAGAAAACTCCTCAACATTACCGTTTATTTTATATTGTAAGAAATTTCCTATCGTTGTGGCATTTGCATATGACAACAAACAAATCCCAAGATCAAAATTTTGATAATGTTGGTTTGTATTTTAAAAAACCCTCATTTCCTTATAGTCAGGTATATGAGTCTTTGTCGAGATACAAAGATAAAAATAATTTTTTATGATGGGGGCTGTGGGGTGGATTTGTAGAATGTCCTACGCAAATAACTGTATAGTATGTAGAGCGTACGGTGGCTCAGTCAGCTAGGTCGTGGATTGGCACACGGGAGACCGTGGTTCGATTCCCGTCCAGTACGACTTTTCGGGCAAGTACCTCTGTGATTTTTCACATGTGCTTTTTCACCACGCAATGCTCCCCGAGGAGGGTTTAGGAGACCTCCTCGCAGCAAAATTACCTAACTTCTCCCTATCCCCCTCCTGTAATGGGAGGCCTTCCATCCCTTTTCTTGTCCCTCTTCCAAGTGATAAGTACCCTCAGTAGTGCCCTTATTAAAGGAGCCGGACGTAAAGTACTATAATATAAAAAAAAAACAAAAAAAAAACTATGTAGTAAAGGGATATATATGTATAAACACTTATTAATGGTGACTTATGCTGACATTATTATGTTAAAAAAAGGTTATTATGAGGACAAAATCGTTTTTTTACGGACTGTCCTATATACGTGGAGCTTGGCCCTCCTCTGCGTTTCGTTGTCAACTTTCTAGAAATATCTAAAACTTAAGAATTCAATAATCTACTATAATTTAAATATAATACAAATAATTAATTGTAACTCAGTTTGTTTTCTTCTCTCAATGCTGTTTCTAATATTCCAATTCACTAAAAATATACGTACAACATAAAGTTTTATATCATAATGTTTTAGTATATGATAAATACAACTTATACTTAGAATTAACGTATTGAAAGATGTAAATTTCAATATAAAGGCTTTTTTGTAAGAAAAATGTAAAAATGTGTATCATCGTATGGATTAAAATATTAAGTAAATAGTACTTTATATTATTATAACATAGCAGCGATATGATATTCGGCCTCAATATTTTTCGATCTCACTGTTGTGTAACGTATGGTAGTATAAGTGACTCTACGTTTCCTCCTCAAACCTCATAACTAGGGGCCCTTGGGCCAAGGGAAAGGAAGAGCGAGCAAAGAGAGAGTCTATTTGGGGAGTACACGACAAGCCTTTGTAGGGAACACACGCGCTATCTTGCCTATGATTACAGTATCTTGAATAAAGGTCCTTCAAATAATAAATGTTGATCATTCTCGCAAAGCACCTCCTTATTAATTTCTTTCTTACGTAACAGTTTTTGGTGCTAAGTGTGGGGTACGATAAGAGTCGGAATTTTTTTTAACTTTTATTTTACGCGTTTCAAAAAAAATTCCGCCGAGAAGCACACATAGTGCAACGCAACGATTTGAAATCAAGAAGCCGAGGATCCAACCAGAGGCAGGAGAACTAGTTTACAAGCAGCAGTTACAGCAGCTCAGAAGCCAACAGGACTAGGGTACCAATCGCCGATAATCACAAAATCAAGGGGACAAAAGACGAGGGAAATGGTCCCTAAAACTTTATTTCTATTGATGTGCAAATCGACTAGCACGTGGGTACATATTTAATAGAATTAATTTTATCCCTTACTCCTAAGGCAAAATAGGAGAGGCACTAATTAGGTAGACATAAGAGCGTTTGATTCTTATTTGTTTATTCTTGATATATGTATTATTTATCTGCCATATTTATGTATAGTATATAAATAAATTAATTATTTCGTCCGCTCCTTCTTTCAGTGTTTTTTCTTAAACGCAAAATATAAATTCCGTGATAAAATAGACTTAAAATGCATTGAATTAGTAAAATTTTTGTTGGGAAAACGATTCACGTAATAAAAGAATTCGAGAACAGGGGGAAAAATCAGTGACTCATAACGAAAAAACTCGACGAGTTGGTCGAAAACAGGAAACAGCAGAGACTAGAGGGGAGAGAAAACAGCGTATTAAGGAGAGGATAAGTGTCAGAAATTGGAGCAAGCACGGATAGTAGGGAAACTCTCTCGCCCGTCTGTTCTTTTTCAATCTGCTGCAGCTAGGTGAAAGGGACCAAATATTAGTACCTAAACATAACATATATCGTATCGAGAGCTGGTGGAGGGACACTCAGCATTATCCGTTCCGATACAACAAGCCCACGCGTCTACACTCACTCGGAGCCTACTACAGTGACTTAGAGTGAGCCAAATAAACCATGAGTGAACCACAGACACATGAAACGTCTGGAAATAATAATTTGCACCCATATCGGCTGAAGTACTTATCACTATTCTTACTGTTATCATTTTTTTTAACGAAAACAAACGACAGATACCCCTAAAAAAATGTTCCTCCTCATCGACCACCACAAAAATAAATCACAAAATTAAAGAAAGCAAGTGCAAGACAAATACCGCCCTTTTACTTTCTCGTCCCACCCCCTTTTATTCTTTTGTCTGATTATTATTTGGCCACGACACAAGTAATTAAATGCAGGCATATTGCGAGGAGATTTAATAAGCTCTGTCAAAATTAAAGAGAAGTAAAAAAAAAAAAAAAAAACAGTAAGAGAAAAAACGATTCATCTCGGCAGCATCACTCATGAGTCAGAAAGCGAAGACGAAGGCCTGGGTAGTATAATAACCAGCACGTGCAGACCAGGGCCTAGTAAAACACAGCAAAAGGAAAACATGAAGGAACAGACGTTGGAGTTAAAGCTGGAATCAGAGGGGTGTGAGGAACTTGACGCTCTAGACGAGAAAACCAAGGCGATTGTAATGGGCCTGTTTTCAAAGATTAAAGCAAAGTTAAAGAAATCGGAGGAAACGGATGCACAACGCAGAACGGTCACAAAGACTGTCCAAAATTTTATCACTAGAAAAGAAAAATCCCAAAGGTATGTTTCACGACACAGAAACAAACACGGGACTTGTGAACAGAGGGGCCAGTCCTCTTTCGGGCGAACGAGTCATCGAGCAAAGCGTGAGAAGAACCGAGGAAATATGCGAAGCTCAAGCAGACAGAACGAATACGCGGGAGACACAATGGGGCATGCCAGAGAGACAAGGGTGGCCGAATTTTACTGCAACTGGCTTTGAATATAAAGAGCCTGGAAAACCCGGGATGAGAGACTTGCACAATCAACAGCTACTGAACGATATAAAAAGATGAGCGATGAACTGGAAAGGAGAAAGGAAGTCGCGTTTACAACAGCGATACCACAACTAAATATTAACTATACAAACCGAGTCGATTATGAGGCAAATAGGGATAGAATATGGGGTGAGACAGACCACACCAGACCCCAATTCACAGACTACATACAAGCGACAAACAGCTATAATCACCCACGCAGAACACAGAATGCGCAGCATAACATTCTGCCCTCACTCAGTCATATGGCAAGCAACATCCCGTTTTTTGATGGTGATCTAATCAATCTGCCGCTATTTGAAAGGATAGTGAGGATGACCATGCTAATGGTGGGTCCAGAGAACGAATTATTTTTCCTTGGCATGCTTGCGAGCAGACTGAAAGGAAAAGTGGCCGAACATTTTGCGCGCAGACTGGCTCAATTTGGGACAGTGTGGAAATTTCTTCGGAAACTGTCGAGGAGATACGGCAGCATCAACAACGCAGACATGCTGATGGCACAGCTAAAAATAATCAGGCAGCAAAGCCGAGAATCAATAGAGAACTACAGTGAAAGAGTACTTGGACTGTACAATAGGCTAACGATGCTGCACGAATTGAACCCAAAGCTTGAACTGCCTGTCAAAAAACAAGTGCTGAAGGAATGCGTGGAAGTAGAGGCAGTGAAACAATTTACTTATGATCTACGTCCAACGTACGGAAGTAAGGTCACATGCTAGAACCCGGGGACCCTCTGCGAAGCAATTATAGAGGCATTGAAAATAGAGAGCAACCTAAGTCTGTGGCATGCAATACCGGTGAGTGCACTGCCTACATATAACACGACGACCAAGACAAGACCACGAGTAAATCTAGCAAGCAAGGAAGAAAAAAAAACGGAGATTACTAATGGGGCACAAGAAGCAGCCGCGAGTAAAAAACGCTAACAGTCGACGAATGCCGAAGATTGATGGCTTTGATAAATGACAGGAAAACGTTAAGAGTTAACGGGAGGGAGCCAAAAGGAAACTACAACTATTGTCAGAGACCGGGACACTACGCAAGAAACTGCTGCTCACGTAAGCAAGACAGATAGGAGGAGGAGAGACAGCGTAACGGAGGATATAACCAACCCGTAGAAAATACTAATATCAACACAAATGCCTATAATTTTGGTGGCAAAAATGATAAGTACAATAATTACAATAATCACAACAAATATAACAGGGGCTATAACAATGGCCCATCGGAGTCGTATAACAGATATAATAACTACTACAACAGAAACAACAATTACAACACTGGAAATAATGGAAACAGCAAGTACAACAATACGAATACCAATTATTATGATAGGAATGATTACAATAACAGGTATAATAATTACAACCCCACGGGCAGTAACTATTACTTCAATCACAGCTACGGTGACCCTTATAATGATAACAACGGGGACACATCCAACCGTTATGAAAATGACTATACAAATCAGGACAGTATAATAGAAGAGACCGCCCGCCAGGTCACCATCGTCGACGTGTGTGTCCCCTTCGAAAACAGAAGGGAGGCCCTTGGTCAAGCTCGCCGGAAAAAGCTAAGCAAATATCAGCCAATTGTGGACAAGCTTACCAAGCTTACGGGGCTACCACGTCGAGGTGGAGGCCTTTATTGTGGGTGCGCTTGGTGCGTGGAGTGGCCACAACGAGAGGGTCCTCGGCCTACTGAAGATCAGCAGATGGTACGCCAGAATGATGAGAAGTTTTATGGTGAGTGATACGGTGTGGTGGTCGAGAGACATATATGTTGAGCACATGTCCAGTCCGCGTCCTCAAACGCTGAGCATGAACTAGAGAGAGAGAGAGAGAGAGAGAGAGAGAGACGGAAGTAAGCGTGTCCGGCGGAGAAGAAGGTGCGAGAGAAAAGCCGCAAAAGGCAGAGCAAGAAGTAGTGGAGGCGGATATGCACAACAGTTTAAATACTAACGCAGTGCAGGAAATAATAGAAAGTATTAAGGCAGAATGTGAAAATCCTCCTAGACAATGGGGGGGCAAACGTACAAGAAAAGGGAGGAGAGCCCGCAAAAAGAGTAATCGGACAAGGGCATCGGACACATATAGAGAGAATGAAGAACCCAAGCTTTCGGAGTGTGACGAAGAAATAAAGCAGCTTCCCAGAAAAACTATAAAACTCGCGAGAACAGGGCATAGGCCACCATCGGTTCAGTTACAAGGACCACAGCTAAAAAACGGAAAGGCAGCTTTTTATGCGGATACTGGCACGGAGATTTCTATTATAAAGGTTAATTTTTTTTGAAGTGAAAACTTCTTATGGCGCGTTGGGCACTTTGGTGGGTGAGCATTTTCAGCCGTTCTCGTGACAGACGAGATTTTACACAGATATACTCCGCGTGTATTCTTATAATATATGTATACTATACGCGCTCTTTGCATGGGCATTCGTTCGTGCTCTCGCGACAGACGAGATTACATACCTATATGTATACTCAGAGTCTATAGGTATGCAAGTGCGCTGCATGCTATACGCAGCAGCGTTGGTCTGAGCATTATTCCACGCTCACAGTTCATGCTTGATCGCACATAGCGCCGATGCCTGGATCTCACCGCGAACTACTTGGCGCAAGAATTCAAATTCAAAATCGTATGATTTTTTCAGCAGACAGTAGGCGCAGAAATTCAAATTCGAAAGAAATCTTTGTAGGTATTGGCTAATTAATGCCTAAAAATATTGAATAATGTTGTATGATTACATACATAAATAGTATACCAAGAATTCCTTCGAATTTAAATTTCCACGCCTACTGTCTCTTGAAAAAATCATACGATTTTGAATTCGAATTCTCGCGCGAAGTAGTTCTTGGTGGGATCTAGTTAGCGGCCCTATGTGCGATCAAGCATGAACTGTGAGCGTGGAATAATGCTCAGACTAACGCTGATATGCAGTCTTTGCATGGGCATTCGTTCGTGCCCTCGTGACAGACGAGATTGAGAGTTTTTTGTATTTATTTTATAAATGAATATTAAACGGAAAATTTATTTATTTAAATATTTCATTTTACTTGTGTTACTGCCATGGTATTCTTTTAAAAAAAATTGATAAATTTTGTATTTACTATTTACTAATATTTACTCATTTAAATAAAACCACTTCCTTTGAATATAGTTTATTATTATACTTCATGTCCATTCAAAAAGTGCCCACATTGCTTTGATAAACTTGATTTTTTATGTACAATTTCTCATGTCGCGAGCGCACCTAAAAATGCTCACCCAAAAAAGTGCCCAACGTGCCATAAGTTCAAGTTTTTACTTCTGCCTGCACTCCCGGAGTGCTACTTGTACTTGGTTTTAAGCACTGACATGCTAATAGACAGTAGGTATCGCGTGGCTATTATTGGCGTGACTCACGAAGCACACAAGACATTGGGCACAGTACAGGTTCAGTTACAAGGGCGGAAGTGCACATTTCACGTTGTCCCCCATGACTCCCCTATTGACGTGGAAGGAATCATAGGGTGGGATACGTTTATGCGATATCGGGGCCAGGTAAGCGCTGCTGAGAATATGATTAAATTAGAAGATGTAGAGATACCACTGTTGAAGCCAGATTGTCTTAAAATTCCTACGAGATCGAAACAAATTGTTTATGCGCGAGTAAAAAATGATAGAAATAGAGCAGAAAATGGCTGGATACTCCTGCAAATGATGGAGGAGGGGATATTATTTGGGAACTTTATAGCAAGAAATATCAACGGAAAAATAGTTTCAGAATGTACTTATATGAGTGATGAGACAAGATATGTGCCTGTTCTGGAAGTAGAGCTGCTAAGTCACAAAGAAAATTATTGGAAGCACTTAGGCATTAACGGGGAAAATGTCGAAAGCTTGGGGGAAGCGGTAATAAGGTTATTGAACGAAGAAATGTGAAGTGATGAAGAAAAAACAGAAAATTTTACAAAAGACGAAGAAGAGTTAGAAAAACTGAAACAGGTGACCAGAATTCTTGAACTCGTAGATACAGCCAGGTAGCAACGATAAAGAAATAAAGCATGTGAGAGGACTAATCGAGTTAAACCCCTACGTATTTGGCCTTGATGGAGAGCCTCTAAAAGCAACGAATCTTGTCAAACACCGGATAAAGACGACAACAGATAAACCAATAGTTGCAAAGAGGTATAGATACCCACCGTCGATCAGAGATCCAATGAGAACAGAACGAGAAAAAATGCTAGAGCAGGCAATAGAGGAACCATCTACCTTTCCGTATAGCTTAAACACTTAGATAGTAGCAAAACAACTGGGGCCAAACAACGAAAAAAGATTGAGGGTCGTCACAAATTTTCGTTTGCTTAACGAAGTCACGGTGGGATCGTGCTATCCATTACCATTTCAAAGTGATATTTTGGACAACCTAGCATTTGCGCGCTACATTACAGTAGTCGACCGAAAGTCAGGATTTTTTCAAATTTAAAAACACGAAGACGACGCGCACAAAACGGCATTTTCAGGGCTGGACGGGCATTACCAATACAAAAGAATGCCCATGGGGTGTAAAGACTCGCCGAACAAATTTTTAAGGGCAATCGCTCTAGCACTCACAGGTTTGCAAGGTCATGAGGTCGATTTGACAATCGAACTCAAGAAGTGCCAATTTTTGAAGAGGGAAGCAAAGGTGTTTTTCCATATCGTAGGTTATGGACAAATAGAGACCGATCCTAAGAAGATCGAAGCAGCCAACAAATACCCACGTCCGACAAACGCAAAAAAAGTAAAACAATTTTTGGGATTTTACGGATATTATAGGCGATTTATAAAAGGCTATGCAAAGATCGCCCGACCCCTATCTATGCTATTAAAAAAGGGTATAAAATTTACGTAAAGTGACAGCGAAGATAACGCATTCAAAACTCTTATTAAAATACTGTGTAGCAGACCAGTGCTCGTTGCCCCAGACTTGGAAAAACCCGTTATCGTCACGACAGACGCGTCAGATTACGCGATTGAAGCGATCCTTAGTCAGGGAGAGATCGAAAAAGATAGACCGTGTGAATACACGTCTCGTTGCCTTAAAAAGAGTGAAATTTGCTACCCGACATACGACAAAGAGTTATTGGTGATCGTATTTGCAAAGGAGCAATTCAGATCATATTTATATGGGCGCAAATTTGTGGTGATTACAGACCACGAGCCGCTGAAGCACTTTCACTCATTTAAAAAACTAGACATTCGTTTTAACAGGCTTAAAGCGGAACTAAGAGGATATGATTTTAAAGCAATATACCGCCTTCGCGTAAACAATGGACCACCAGACGCATTATTGCGAAACCCAATACTAAAAAAGGAGAAAGTGAATCCTGAACGGCCTCACCAAGAGCTATACCAGCTAGCAGACGAACAAGAGAATAAAGAACCGGCCGATCGCGACGGACCACCAGCACACATATTTAAAGTACGCGCAACTCGTAAGAAAAGATTTCAAGGCAACCTGAAGAAAATAAAAATCCATGGCACCGACTCAGGAAACTCGAACGGTATAACACGAAAAAGAACACGATATCGGGGCGAGAATCGCGAAAAAGGTTCAGATATGAGTACAGAAGGTCAGGAAAACAGCGATGCGGACTCTGAATTAGAGGAGTCTAACGAAAACAATTTGCCACTGCAGCAAGCACTAAGGAATCAAAACAAGGGAAAAGTACGAGAGGTTGCAGAAAAAGGAGAAATAATTTCGCAGGGGACAACAGACAAAAAATTGGGCTACATCAAGAAAGATCCAGGCTTTCAGAAGAGAATAACTGCTACAAGTACGCTAGCAATACTAGCACAAAGAGAAAAATTACGAAAGGCACGCAAACGACAACTTGACACTTTGCAAAGACAGAAACCGGGCTTTTCAACTACTTAGCTGACGGCGACTCCGTTGAGAGAAATAATAATAGCCAATTATAATACACCATTACACAACGTTAATAGCAAAAATCAGAAAGTAACTACAGAGGAACAGGAAACTACTACAAAAGGAAAGGAAGAAAGCAGAAAACAAGCAAAGGAACTTTTAACAAATGAACAAGAAGAGCCGAACATACACGATTTATTAGTGGGAAGATCGGATAAACTACGGGCTCTAGTAATGAGAGACATTAAAAAGCGAGACGTAGAAGGCAGACTGGCAATGAGGGTAGATATTTGGAAGCCTAGTGAGATAATAACAACAGAGAAAGTTACACACGTCAGCAGACGAAAAAAAAAACACCCATGACGGGGCAAACATGGTCCAGTCAGAGGAAAGTGAGAACGCGATACGAGACGAACGCAATGATCACTCAGAAGTCGACCCCCCCCCCCAGATAAATAGTTATATTATTTAAAGGACAAAACGCGAAGAGAAACTTGTGAATACGCACAACCTGGTAGTAGTCTGACAAAAATATCGGAAATACCATCCGACCCACCTCGAAACTGTCTGTTTCACAGCCTCATGTGGTTATACGAACTTGATATCTCAACTACTGAGTTACGAACGGTTCTGCGCAATTATAATTTATTACAAAAATGCAGGGAGCCGGATAAAACAAAAAAAATTTTGGAGTCACAAACAATGTACCGGAACAGCGATTTTACTTATTTGTTCTCCCAAGAATTTAAGAAAAATATTTGTGTACACTAACCATTGGAAATTACATTTACACTCATTACATTGCTACGGCAGACGGTGAATTTGGCCATTAACATCTAGAAGGCGTAGGTAAAAATGCAC